GCTCGAACGCATGGGCATCGGCGGCATCTTCAATCCCGTGCAAAGCGATCTTTCATTGATAGGCACAAATCAGCCGGCAGCAGCTGCTGCGCCAGTGGCAACGGATCGCAGCCATGCGGATGGCTTGGCCAGCTTGCGGAACCTGGTGGCACAGCGGCAGGCGGCGATGTCAGTGCAAGGCCCAACTCCGCCCTCCGATCTCATTGTTTCCGATATTTTGCACAAGGTTGACTTTGTGGTCAATGAACAGGGCACCGAGGCGGCCGCTGCATCGGCTGCTATTCTGAAAAAGTCTGGTCCCGAGGTGGTTTTCCGCGCCGAGACGCCATTCATGCTGCTGGTGCGTCACGATCTGACAAAGCTTCCATTATTCTACGGCCTGATCAATGAGCCGCCCACAGTCAAAGCCGCCAGTGCAGAGCGTAAAAACTAGAGACCTAAGTAACTTTCATAATTAGCAACTTAAGTAGTTAGCATTAATAACTAAGCCTGTGCATGTATTTATAAAATTTCCATTATAAGATTGTTAGTAAATATATAACTATAAATATGTTAAACAATCTAATTAGTGTACATATGTAAATGAGCCTTAAACTTAATAAGATTAATAAAAAGACATTAAAACACACTTTCAATTTCGTTTTAACCTTCCCAAATCCATGGCAAATGCCCCCGCCCCCCCCCCCCCCCTCTTAAAAACTTTTCCATTTGAACATAACCGCCATATATCGATAGCTTAAAATGGCGATTAATGTATCGATAACATTTGCAAGCACTGTGAATGGCAAAAATCTAACAGCCAGCCCTGAACAACAGCTGTTATTAGTTTACATCTTTAAAAGACTGTTGTATTTATTACCCGTAATAAAATCAAAATGATGTCGCTACCCGACTCTGATTCTGAGGACGAGCTGCCGCCAGGCTGGGAGGAGCGTGCCACCGACGATGGCGTTGTGTGCTATGTCAAGTATGTACCCCCCGAATCACCAGCTTCAAGGGAGACATAACACCTGTCCCGTTGCAGTCAACAGAGCAAAACCTCACAATGGACTCATCCGCGAACTGGACGCTCCAAACGCATTACCGGCGAGCTGCCGCTGGGCTGGGAGAAATACTACGATGAGCAAAGCAAACGTTTCATGTTCCACAACAAGGAAACGAAACAGCGCACCAATATTGATCCACGACTGGCATTTGCTGTCGAAGAGCCCACGTTGAATGTGGCGCAAGTGCGTCAGCGTTTCGACTCATGCAGCACAGCGCTGCAGGTGCTGCATGGCAAGGATTTGCATGGCCGTGTGGCGCTTATAACGGGTGCCAACTGTGGCATTGGCTACGAAACGGCGCGCTCACTGGCCCTGCACGGTTGTGAAATTATCCTTGCCTGCCGTAATCTGGCATCGGCCGCGGAGGCCATCGAACGCATTGCCCTGGAGCGACCAGCAGCACGTGCCAGGTGTCGTTCATTCGCCCTGGATTTGGGTTCGCTGCGCAACGTGCAGAAGTTTGTAGAGCAGATCAAGCAGAGCTTCAGGTGTGTGGCATCGACTGTTTAATTATGGGCGCTGATCTTAGTTGATTTATTTCTCTAACTTTGCAGCCACATTGACTATCTCATACTGAATGCCGGCGTCTTTGCTTTGCCCCATACCAAAACTGTCGATGGACTCGAGACAACATTCCAAGTATCGCATTTATCCCATTTCTATCTAACGCTGCAATTGGAGGCGCTGTTTGATCACAGGACGCGCATTGTGGTGCTTTCCTCCGAATCGCACAGGTAAGCACAGCTGAGCAAGGGTATATTTAACGCAAGCGTGTCCAACCGGCACTAGGTATACTTTAGCGGCCACCACTGTATTCGTATTGTAACAGCAGCATTGCTTATCGTCACTAGGTCTATGTTAGGACTGTCACTGTATTTGAATTTTAACCGGCATTTGGCACCAGCTACATTATAATGACCGCCACTGTTGCTTATAATCCAACTGCATTTGGCATTATTTCTTTTTAGCAAGTTTATTGCACTTATCGCTTGGACTTTGGTCCGGCGCGCGTCTGTGTTTTCTTTGCGTTGGCGTCGACGCAATTGTGACTAAACTATAAATAGTACGCAATGCGTACATACCGAAATACTTGTAAGCGATAGTCTAGTTTGATATTTAGCAAGGGGAATAGGTTATTTAATAATATTTATTTTATATAGTATAATTTCTTATTTCAAGGTCAGTTTGATGCTTTAAGCCTTTGCTAGCTCTTCAAATTTTGACCTTGCGGCATTTGTTTAGGTTTGTGTTTGTTGGAAATTCGGTTTAATCTCGACTTCAAGGCAAAACGCAATTGAACTCCGTTTTGAGATTAGATTTGTTTACACATTTACTGCGCACACAACGCACACATTGAAATAATAACTACGTCACAAATGTGCCTGGCCAATAGAAATGCGACTAGTACTTTTTCATATGGCATATTTTTAGTGTGCATTGCAGTTAATGTGTTTAAAGTAGCTTTAATAGTGTAGCTAACGGTTTTTACATAATAATTACCTGTTAAGTGGTTTCGGTGCTTAAAATTGTTGATCTTAGGCAAATGCAAGCGTACACCACCGCGGCTGCTGAAGTTTGTTTACATGTTTGTGTGCATGCACACATACACGCACGCGTTGCGATATCAGCTGAAGGCACACACATACATTCAATTCACGTGCTGCGCACAAGCACAGTGGTACACAGGCATAATTTAACAGATGGCCAACTGTTTGTAGCCGCACTATGCTACGCACACACACACAAACACACGCGCGCGCGCACACACACACGAATAAATCAACGAAACTCGCGTGAAGCGACGAAACGAGGCATAAAACGTAATTGAAGTGAAGTTGTTTAATGTTGGAGGTGGTTTTTGCAGCTGTATTGGTCTTGCTTCTTCTGCGTTCGTTATTTCCAGCACGTACAACATCTCTTGCCTCTGTTTTGTTGTATCTGTATCTCGTGGAAGCATGCAGCAACAGTCGCGTGCGCCAAATCGTGTACTCACTAAAAGTCATGTATACCAACAGCAATCGCACACGTTCAAGCACACATATACATGCACACCCATACATACATATGTATATACGCTGACTTATGCGACCAAAATTGTCTGTTTGATGAATGACGCTGAGTTTCTATTGGGGTCAGAATACCAAGCAATGCTTGATAGGCGGTCGTTGCATGGAGGACGTCATGTTCTCTTCTTCTTCTTATTGCTTGCATGGGAAATGAATGAAAATTCGAAATTAAATGCTAACTTAAGAGAAATCTAAATGAATAATAAATACATATAGAATTTATGCATTTTGCAGACGCAGTGGAAGTACATTTATCATGCGTTGAACATATCCAAATAAAACGGATAAAACGATTTTGCATATTTTTTGCAACACTAGACATGCATACATATGCATACACACATACATACATGTATGTATATGTATGTAGCTAAATACATACGCATTTGATTCAACTAGGACGGCAATAATATAAAAACAAATTCAAAGTCCATAAAATTGCGCGCTTCGATTTGTAACGTTCAAAATTGACGGCATTTACGACTTGCGCATGCGCTACAATTTCTGGTTCTGTGTAAATGTAAAGCGTAAATTATTTACACTGTGCATTGTTTTTTTTTTTTTGTACAAACCGCTTTGTTGTCGTTGTTCTAGGGCGCAGTTTATTGTTGCGGCATGTAGGCGCCTTAGTCACAGGCATGGCCTGAACTTTTGTTCATGGTTTGAGTCTTGCATCTCATTAACGAAGACTGAACGCCGCCGCCGCACAAACAAAACAACAACAAAAACAACAACAAGAACGACAAAGCCAATCAAGACTCGTTTGCGTCCGGCCGGTGGGTGCAAAGTCCAGTTTGGGTTCGACTGGATGATGCTACATTGTATACAAGTACAGTGAAAGCTCGCTTTAAGCGAACAAACGCAGTTTCAGTCTTTATTTGCTCCATGAAGAGATAAAAATAAATTCTCGAAAGATTCCTTTTGGAGTTCACTTTTTGCCACATTTTTTCCGGGAATAGTTAAACAGCTGTTTTTTTTCTTTTACAAAAATAAATGAAAGGCTAGCGTATAGGGTGAACGTCCAACGATAAGAATGGGGCTCATTGGAGGAGCTTTCACTGTACGCATATGCCGTAAGCCTGTTATGTACAGCAAAAACAAAACAAACCAAATATGCAAAAAGGGACCACATACAACAAACAGCAATTGCGTCTTAAATTAAACTTGAATTTCTTAACCCCCCCCCCCCCTCGCTCCCTTCGCCTGCAGATTTGCCAATCTGCCAGTGGAGAATCTAACGCTGCAGCACTTATCGCCGCCAGCAGAGAAATATTGGAGCATGATGGCCTACAACAATGCCAAGCTGTGCAATGTCTTGTTTGCCCAGGAGCTGGCACAGGTGAGTCACGCTCGGCATATTTATATTTAGCATATTTAACCAACAAGTGACCCAATTATCCAAAAATATCCTCACTGCAATCAGCGCTGGCGGCAACGCGGCATTTCTGTCTTCTCGCTGCATCCTGGCAACATGGTTTCGACGCAACTGTCGCGCAATTATTGGTTTTATCGCCTGCTGTTTGCCATTGTGCGACCCTTTACCAAATCCCTGGTGAGTAGATGCCATTAAGTTAACCTGGGGATGACTTTCACTGGACATTCTTTTAAAACGCAGCAACAAGCCGCCGCCACGAGCATCTACTGCGCGACGGCGAACGAGTTGACTGGCCTGTCGGGTCTGTACTTCAATAACTGTTACTTCTGTGAGCCCAGCAAGCTGTCCAAGTGTGCGGCACTGCAGCAGCAATTGTGGGCGCTCAGCGAGCGCCTGATCCTTGAGCTAATGGAGCCGACAACAATTTGAATTTCAAGTTTTCTTTTAAATACGTGTGTGTGTTTTTTTTAATAACTATTTCTACATTTTACATATTAATAATTATGCGTCGAGTATACAATTTGTTTTTCTTTTAAAACTTAAATCTAAACATTTGAAAAGGAACCTAACTACGTACTAAGGCACAGATTTGTGCTGGACTAGAAGTCGGAGACGCGACCCTTGCGCTCCCAGTCGCCGTAGCGTGTGGGCTCCGGTCCAGCGGGTCCGCCAATTTCGCCTGTGTACGGATTTGTTTGGTTCGGCCAGGGCTTGAGTGGCTCCTTCTCCTGGTACGGATGGCGTGAGAACTCGTCCAATTTGCCCAGCGGCGTCTTGGCGCGCAATTTCTTCTGAAAGGCCATCAGCTTTTCGGATGGTGTTTTTGGCTCCTTAATTTCACCAGCTGCCGACTGCCAGGCGCTGCTCGTCGATAGATAGCTCACTGTTTAAGAGAATATATATATATATAACAAATGTAACAATTTAATTTTGGTCTCGGATAACACTTTGCACACACACACACACACACACCTTGTTTGCCCATCTGCGGCATTGCCCGCAGCGTCTGTCTTGTCATCGACTGCATTTTGTTTTTTTTTCTATTTTTTTGAGTTCAAGTTTTGGGCTGTTCTTGTTTACAGTTCTTCAAAGTACCGGTATTTGGGTTTGTTTTCTTGTCGAAGTTGTGGCTGTGTTTGAAAATCACGCTGCTGTTGTTGTCACTTGCTCGGCTCGTGCACGTTTGTGGCAACTGCGCTGTGGCTCCCCGTTTATATAGCTCTGCGACGGCACGCTGCCTTTTAATTTGTAGGCCGCTGCTGCTGCTGCGATTGCGTTGAAAGCGGCACGTTCAGATTTTATTTTTTTTGTGGCTTGTTACGTATTGCAGCTGTGTGGCGATATCGATAGCACAAGAGTTATCGAAATTAGAAGACGACGGCTGCATCATCGTTTTCGATTTGCGCTTTTACGTCATTATTGCTATCTACTTTGCAGTCATGCTCAAATATTTCTAATTAATATGAGCTTAAATATAAATAAATTATTTTTATGGTTAATTTTTTTCTTTATACCAACACATTCATCACAACACTGTATTTTAGTAATATTACCAATTCAACTTTTTTTAGTTATTTGCGACGAAACCTTCCCGACCTTGTAACCTGTTGATATATCGATGCCTTAAACATTTAATTTGGTGTATCGATACTATTGCACCAGACATGCTTGTTACTTCGTAAGCAATTGTTGTTCTTCTGTTTTGTAATATACACGTTTGTTTTTACGTTTGTTTTAGTTTGTGATGTTGCCGAAGACGCCTAAACCAGCTATTTGGAGATTCATCAAGGGTAGCGCCAAGACACTATTCGTGCTGGAAGCCGTCTGTTTCGCCGCTAGCTACGGTCTCTACTACCGTATGAACACAGACCAAGGTGAGTGTCACTGTGTGCTTTATATAAGCTTTCCGCTGAACGTTTACGTTTCTCAACCAAAGATTTTCGCCGGTACATCAACGAGAAGTATCCCTTCGCACTTGAGTATTATTATAAAATTGGAGAGATTGTGGGCGACAGCAAGGTGCGCGACATAGACGCCAATTACTGGAGCTCCGCAACTGCGCAATTCCAGAAGAAAGAGTAACATTTGAAGTCCAATTAAGAATGGCTAGCAATCCTTATGTCAAGTCCGTGCTATGGCTGGTTGGCTTCGGTGGCATTGGCTATGGTTTAATGCTGCTGACAGAGCCCAGTGCAGAGAAGATTGAGCGCATTAAAGCATCCGGTTCACCAGGTCAATACAATGCGGACGATAAAAAGAAAGCTCTGTTCATGCAAAAACTTCAGGAAGCTGCAACATCCAGTACTCCAATTTACAGGCAAGCGGCGAATACTGATAAAAAAGATAACTAGACTAGATTCTTTGTAAATAATTTGTTAATTGCAATGTTATAGAAATACTAATTTTGAAATAAAATAAGGATATGTGTGGAAGAGAAAATCCATAGTTAAATCGCTATCTCTTTCGCTCTGCAATAACAAAGCTGAAATTGCGGTAAACACTCAAACGATAGCTCGGCAACTCATCGATATTAATTACATATCGATATACCTGTAGATTTAAATAGCAACAATTTGCCATTGGGCTTAAGGAAAATCAAATTATTTAAATATGTCCGCGGAAAATGTGCCATTGTTTTCAACGAATGTGCCGCCTGCGGTGCAGTTTGGTGCCAGCAAGAACTTCCAGACACACACGGAGCAACAAGATCTGGACAGCGCATTTCTCGGCTACGAGAGACGCCCGTGGATGCAGGGAAAGGTGAAGCCAAATCCGCACAGGGAGCGCGAGGCCATAACGACACTGTTGTCCACATCGAACGACAATGTCGACAAGCTGCTCGAGGAGAACATTAGTTATCGTGACTTGGCTTCGCTGACGGACGAAGATCTGAAGCTGTTCGGATTTGCAGCGCAAAATGAACGCAGTAAATTCCTTAAAATGTTTGCACTGTTGCCCAACCAAGATCCCAGCTACGAATACATTTGCAACCAAAACGCAGCGCAGAGCTACAACAATCAGATCATTGCCAATGCATCCAATCACATCATGTACCTGCGCTCCTCCCTGGCCGCCACCAACTACAAGCTGCAGGTGCTGCCGCCCGAGGATGTGGTCGTGGGCGATAAACGCTATGCCAGCCGCTTCGCGCTGGAGGCCCTGAACAGCGTGCAAGCGATCTCGGATGAGCTGAGCAAGGATTTGCGTAAGCTGGAGCAGCTGGCCAGCGATGCCAATCGAAAGAGCGAGGAAGGCAGTTCGATGCCGGCAAAAGAGGTGCACTCCAATTACAAACAAAACTTATTTTATTTTTTTATTAATGTCCTGTTCCTTGCAGCGAAATGTTAAGATATTGTACTACACGGCCATTGCGCTGGGCACGGCTTGTGCTTGGTTATGGTGGTGGTCGAAGCGCAGCAACAGTCCAAGTCTCGAGAATATTTCAGTTAAAATCTAAAACATTCTTTTGTATTTGCAGAAAATTCTGCTCTAGAAATTACTAGACTATAAGCACATTCCATTTGAAATAACAAAAACATTTCCACTTTTTAAGGTAATCTCTAAGACTTCGAATATATATATGCTTTCTTTGGTAAGCATGCACTTTGAAATCTCATAGTTAAAATCATTGTAACCCTTTAGTATTAAGGAAGACTCTATAAGGCACAAAAAGTGTAATGTTATTTAACTAAAACTCGAATATGTTTAAGCTTAAAGTTGAAATCTTTTAATACAAAATTTAACATAACATTTAAAATTTACAATAATATATTCAAAGCAGATTTAACTGCGCTTTCAATCAAGAATGGCCACTCACTTTCGTCTGACCTCCTCGGCGAGCAGCAGAAACACCAAGTTCACATAGGCATCAACATGTTCGGGGAACTCCCAGGCCGTGGTGTACGAGATTAGTTTGCCCCGGCAAGTGCTGTGCGCTATGTTTTCTGTTGGTGTTCAATAACAAGATATGGGACTTATATGTATATATATATATAGAGCGATTGTCAGTCAACCTACGCATTACATGCTGTTTCACCAGTGACTCCTGCTTGTATCGCTTAAGTAGGTCCTCGGTGAAGGATACAAACTGTGTTAGCTTCCAGGTACGGTAAAAGATCACATTCGAGGCAACGCCCGCGAGCAGGGTTAATGCACGCAATTGTCGTAAAATCTCGCGGGTGTTTGTGAAAATATCAACAAAGATCGACGTAATAATGGCCAACTTATCGCAGGGCTTGACCAGATCTTCCGGATAGTAGCCGGCCTCGGCATTCGCGTTATCATAGCAACGCGTCTTTCGGGCCTCGATGGCGTAGCACAGCGCGGTGCCGCGTTGTTGGGCTATTTGCCATTTGGCGTAATTACTTTGCAGATCGGCAACTAATGCTTCCAGGCGAGCCTTGCAGCTGGCCAAATTGGCATCGTGCTTGACTGGAGATTGCATGCGCTGGCTGTCAACAACTTAATGAAACAAAGTTAAATAAAAGCCATGCTCAGCTGGTGAATTTCAACACTTACAGCGCACTGGCGTTAAAGAAGTGTTTAACAAATCCATTATCGTCGTTAGCACTTGATTATTATTCAATGTATCCATCAATTTATCCTATTTTTTTAAGAAATTTAAACATGTTCTAAATTTTGCCAAAAACCGAAATGCAAACGAGAAGTCAAAAGCAATTCAAACAGCTGACAGCTACCGATTATCGATTTTATAGAATCGTTCCAACCTATCGCTCACCTCTATTAAAATGATCAATTGGCGGCAAATTTTAAATTTAAACTTGAAAAAGCTCCAAGTATAGCAATTTCTTCAGTTATTTATGTCTATTTTCAATGTTAAGCAATGAAATAAAGACTTTATATACTTTCTCAAAATTCTTTGGATTTGTGCGTACAATAATAAGTAAATGCATAAATGAATATTTGATTCCGGTGCCGAAAACATGTTGCCAAAATCGAAGCCAGCAGCTGCAAACTGGTTCCGTGCAAGGTTCGTGCTAGAGACTATCCCGATTATCGATACTAATCGGCGGTCAATCGATAGCACACACACACACTTTTACTCAAAGTGTCAAAAAAGTGCCGGTAATCATTGTCAGACATTTCTAAAATACATTCGTTCGAAGTTTGTCGTAAAGCGCTGCAAGTAAATTAAATTTTTTAAAAATGTCGATCTGGACACCATTGGAATCCAACCCGGAGGTAAGTGGTTATCTTTACTAATCTTGTTAACAGTTAACAATGTATGAAAAAAAGCTTGTAATTTGTTGTTGCTGTTGCTTGGCAAAATTCGATTTTATTTCCAATTGGCATATTAAAAAAGACGCCATGATGTCCGTGTCCCATTCCAGGTGCTGACCAAATACATACATAAGCTGGGCGTGTCGTCGGCCTGGTCTGTGACTGACGTCATCGGCCTGGACGAAGAACTGCTGGCAATGCTGCCGCGTCCCGTGAAGTCCCTCATCTTGCTCTTCCCCATTAGCGAGGCTGTAGGTCCAACGATTTCGCCATTCATTCATTTCATTTTTCTAATGTGTATTTGTGTGGGTGTGGTTGTGTGTGTGCGTGTGCTTGCAGTATGAAAAACATCGCGCTGAAGAGCACGAGCGCATCAAGGCTGCTGCTGAGCCGGAAAAATATCCAAAAGATCTCTTTTACATGAAACAGTTCACCCACAACGCCTGCGGCACCGTTGCCCTCATCCACAGTGTGGCCAATAATAAGGAGTAAGAGATTAGATATACATAAATCCATAATATGCACGCTCATCTATAAATATAATCCACAGCATCGAAATAGCCGCCGGCGTTTTGAAGAATTTCTTGGAGAAGGGCGCCAACCTATCGCCCGAGGAACGCGGCCAGGCTCTAGAGCAGGACAACGCCTTTACCGAAGACCATCAGATGCTGGCCCAAGAGGGACAAACCGATGCCGGTGCCTATGAAACCGTTGTTCACCATTTCATTGCACTGGTCAACAAGGAGAATACTCTGTACGAGCTAGACGGACGCAAGTCGTACCCAATCAGTCATGGCAAGACCTCGGATGAGACTTTTGTGCTAGATGCTGCCAAGGTGTGCAAGGAGTTCATGGCACGCGATCCCGACGATGTGCGTTTCACCGTGCTGGCTCTGGCTGCCACACAGGAATAGAGAGCCCACCCAATCATCTAAAATATATATATATATATATCTATTATATGATCTCCGATCTATACACATACGCCTATTTATATATTTGTAAGGCCACGTTAGAAACGCTTCTGGCCATCATTATACGCATATTTAACCCGCACTTGAATGTATTTCGAATGTTTTACGTGTTGTGATTAAAGAACGCATGAGAACTGAACCCAGATGCTCCACCAACAGCTGTTTCCCAACGCGTGGCCACTGCGCATGCTCCTCAATGGGTTACGCTCCACGTAACTGTTTGACAGTTGCCAAACGTGGTTGCTTTTTGTTTTCTTGCACACAATTGGCCTTAAGTTGTGGATTTATAGGATTCATATCCAGCTAACAGCGAACCGTAGAGCCCTCCAGTGTGCCCAGCCAGAATAACAGTATATTTAAACAGGACTACAAGCACATTTATATGTGTGGTCGCCGCCACTGCTCGGAGTCGGGTGAATCATGAAGCTGCTGCTCAAGGAGCTGACGCGTTTAACCACGCAGCATCGCACCTTCTACTGCTACATGTTTCTCAGCATTTGGATCTTTCTACTGATAGCGGGTAAGTTACTGCCCAATCCCGGCCAGCTCACAAGGGCTCACCCAAGCTTTCTTTCTCGACAGGCATGTATCGCTACATGGGCAACGTTGAGCACAATAGCAGTCCGGGCAGTGGCGGCGGCGGTGTCTATGGTCCTGGCATAGGCACTGCCAGCTCTGGCGGTGGGAATGGTGCTATTGACACCTCCAGCGCACAGCGTTTTGCCAGATATCGGGAACGCTGCGCATCGCTGTCACAGTTGACACGCATGGACGATGGCGGCATACTGGAGGGCTGGAAGCTACAGGGTGTGCTCCTAGTCATCCGGCATGGGGATCGCGGCGCCATGTCCCATGTGCATGCCAATGGCATCAATTGTGGTGTGC